TTCCCAGGCTCTCGCCATCTAATCCCTAGAACGGTCCAACACGGCTCCAGGACCCTGCGAGGTCGTTCCAACACGGCCCACGAGGCCTCCAAGAGAGCCCCAAGACGCTCCAAGAGTGCCCCGAGACGGTTCCACGACGGTCCAGGACGGCCCCGCGACGGCCCAGGAGGCGCCCAAGACGGCCCAAGGGGCACCCAAGACGGCCCCAGGAGCGGCCCAAGACGGACCACGACGGCCCAAGGGGTGCCTACGCCGGCTTCCGAAGGCCCAAACACGGCCCAGAGACGCCCAAGACGCCCGAACAGAACCCCCAGTAGCCCCCAAACGCCCACAAGACACCGCTGGACCCCTTCCCGCGGACCGTTCTCTCCTCCCGAGCTGGTTTGCTCACGGTGTCCCGCCCAGGGACTGAACATTACCAAACATGTTCTCGGGCCTCCCAGATGAGGTCAGGGTAGATGGGGTCGGAGGATTAAGCCGCATCGCCGGATGCATCGTCCATGCGGCTCGATTCGGAGCCCGAGTTTTTTTCACGCAGACGTCAGCGAAGCACCGCCGACGTCGCCGCTGCATCGCCGATATAACGCGCTCATCCGGCCCCATCTACTCGGACCCCATGTGGGAGGCCTTTCATGTTCCGCCTCGATTATTTCAGGACGCGAGGGGGCGTCTCCCGCCCGCCCGCCATTATGGGGCGATGTGGGAGGCGAGCGCAAATCACTTGCCACTTCGTGGCAGCTTATCTTGGACGGAGTCCACAGGTCAGCCCTAGTCAGCTGTAGCGCTGGGACCAGCGCGTGCGAGAAGGACGAGCAGTGGCAGCGAGCTCTGACGCTGCTGAGCGTGATGCGGGGGGCGAAGCTGGCCCGACACCATCTATACCTATACGACCACCCTTCGGGTGATCAGGAGGTTGTGTGTGTGGGGGGGGAGAGGGGGGAACCAACATCTTGCTCAATCGATCTCACTATCGATCTCACTCAACGGGACACCACGGGACACCACGCGACACTTGTATATCTCAGTATCGATCTCACTCAACGGGACACCAGCGGGCCACCACGGGACACCACGGGGCACTGCGGGACACCTCTCGATCTCACTATCGGTCTCACTATCGATCTGACTATCGATCTCACTCAGCGGGACACCATAGGGCATCACGGGACACCTCGGGACACCACATCCATCTCAATATCGATCTCAGTATCGATCTCATTTCGAGCTCATTCAACGGGACACCACGGGACACCTCGGGACACCTGTCGATCTCACTATCGATCTCACGATCAATCTCACTCAGTGGCACACCTCGGGACAGCACGGGACACCTCGGGGCATCACATCGATCTCAGTATCGATCTCACTATCGATCTCACTCAACGGGACACCACGGGACACTTGTCGATTTCACTATCGATCTCACTATTGATCCCACTCAACGAGACACCGCGGGACAGCTCGGGACACCTCCGGGCACCACATCGATCTCACTATCGATCTCACTCGGCGGGACACCACGGGACACCACTGGATACCACGGGACACCACGGGACACCGGCGGGACACCGCGCGCCACCGGCCGCCAGAGGAGAAACAAGTGGCGCCGCCGCGGCCCGGCCACAGGAGGATTTCGGGACACCAGCGGGACACCGCGCGGCACCGGCCGCTGGAGGAGCAACATTTGGTCCGGCCGCGGCCCAGCCACAGGAGGATTTCAGGACACCAGCGGGACACCCGCGGGACACCCCGCGGCACTGGCCGCCAGAGGAGCAACATTTGGTCTGGCCGCGGCCCAGCCACAGGAGGATTTCCTCTCGCCCGCCCACGCAGCTTCGTCTCGCCCGCACGCACGCACGGCACGCACGACACGAACCCGAAACCGAAGTCGATTTCCCGGTAGGGGGGGTCTCCGTTTCACGTCGGACTCTCCCCCCAACCTCCGACTACAAAATCGGGATCAGCGCGTGCGAGTTCAGACAGAGTGGCTCGGGGCGGCTCCTCGCGCCCAGGGGGCGGGGGCGTCATGCGGCGCTCCCAGGACGGCCCTCGCCAAGACGGCCCTTGGACGTTCAAGAGAACGCCAGAAAGCCTTACGAAGAGTCCCACCAAGGCCCAAGCTGTCCCCGAGACTTCCCATAGAGGACTAGAAAGAGACCTCCAAGACGGCCGCAGAGCACCCCGATGACGGCCGATTGGCCAAAACTCATACATTTTCTTAGTTCCCAACCGTCTTCTGGTGTTGGGTCCTCGTTTTGAAGAGACAGCGCCCCGCGTCACTCCTCCTCCTCCTCCACCTCCTCCCTCCTCCCTCCTCCTCATCCCCCTCCTCCCCCTCCTTCTTCCTCCCTGCGTTTCACCCACCCAGCACAGCGCTTCGTGGCCCCATAGGGAGCTGCACTAAAGGCCCCAGTGCCACCGCCCGCATGCGTCACCCACCCATTTCGGCACACCTCTCACACGTTTCGTGGCCCTATAGGGAGCTCCACCGGAGGCCCCAGTGCCACCGCCCGCATGTGTCACCCACGCCCATTTCGTCACACCCCTCACACGTTTCGTGGCTCCATAGGGAGCTCCACCGAAGGCCCCAGTGCAACCGCCCGCATGCGTCACCGACACCACTTTCGGCACTTCCCTCACACGCTTCGTGGCCCCATAGGGAGCTCGACCGAATGCCTCAGTGACACCGCCCGCATGCGTCACCCACACCCGTTTCGGCACACCCCTCGCACGCTTCGTGGCCCAATAGGGAGCTCCACGAAGGCCCCAGTGCCAACGCCAGCATGCGTCAACCACACTCATGTTGGCACACCCCTCACACGTTTCGTGGCCCCATCGGGAGCTCCACCGAAGGCGCCAGTGCCACCGCCCGCATGCGTCACCCACGCCCATTTCGGCACACCCCTCACACGCTTCGTGGCTCCATAGGAAACTCCACGAAGGCCCCGGTGCCACCGCCCGCATGCGTCACCCACGCCCATTTAGTCACACCCCTCACACGTTTCGTGGCCCCTTAGGGAGCTCCACCGCAGGCCACATTGCCCGCATGCGTCACCGACACCAATTTCGGCACACCCCTAACGCGCTTTGTGGCCCCATATGGAGCTCCACCGAAGGCGCCAGTGCCACCGCCCGCATGCGTCACCCACACCCATGTCGTCACAGTCGTCACACGATTCGTGCCCCCATATGGAACTCAAGGGAGGCCCTGGTGCCACCACCCGCATGCGTCACCCACGCACATTCCAGCACACCCCTTACGCGTTTCGTTGCCCCATAGGGAGCCCCACCGAAGGCGCCAGTGGCTGCGTTCGCATGCGCCCACCGCACCCATTTCGGCACACCCATCACACGCGTCGCGGCCCCATAGGGAGCCCCACCGACGGCCCCAGTGCCTGCTTTCGCATGCGCCTGCAGCACCTGTTGCGGCACACCTCTCACGCGCTTCGTGGTCTCATCGGGAATTCCACCGACGGCCCGTCCTGGGGGTGTCCGGGACCCGTTTTTCTCAGGACCTGTTTCCCCTTATGTTAATGGATTTAGGCAGTGACGAGGCGCTTGGGCTTTCCAATGGGCCCGCCGAAGAATGCTCTGAGAACCTCTTGTGGTTTGCACGAGATGTTCTCAGAAAATTTCGGGCTGAGGCTCTAAGAACTCTGTTGTTGTCAGAAAACTCTCTGCTTCTAGGAGCGTGTCGTCGTAGGCCTACAGGAGTACCGGGACGGTCGGTCTTTGCTTCATGGGTCGGGATTGGCTTTTGTTGCACAGAGCGTCCCATTCTCCGCGGAGGGAAGGAGCGGTCAGCGCCTCGTCCAGAAGAGGAGACCACATAGCCACAAATGTCTCCAGCGCTGGGCCGTTTACGGCTATGTAGGCCGGGCTCCCGCACGTGTCTTCGTCGCGCGCAATCCACATGTTCCAGAAAGAGCGTTCCAAAACGGGCCTTGCTTTCGATGGTCGAAGGAGTTGCCATCTCTTCCGCGGTCGGCGGATGGCGGCGGATGTAGAACGGCGGCGGCTCGGCCGGCGGAAGCAACAGTCGACCTCACAAGAGATGGCAACACCTTGGGGTTCAGGGTTTCCAGAACCCGCCACAGCAGTTCACACATGTGTGTTCCGGCTTCCTGGTGCTGCCCCCGCGTCGTTTGGGCAGGGGCCGGGGGGGGGTGCGGCAGGTTTGTGCCGTGTCGACGCGGCGGCGACCCCAGCGCGGGCGTTCGAACTTGAGCGCTGCCAGTGGCCCGGAATCGGCGGGGACCTCGAGACCGCCGACATGTAGACACGGCTGTCTCGGGCATCGCCGCCGCAGCCGTCGTGCGCGCGCTGACTTGTGGACAGCGGCGCGCAAATCGAGCACGACTGAGGAGGAGTCGTCGTTCCAGCGGGAGGCAACGGGGGGGAGAGTGGGGGATGTCGAAAGTCGCACATTCCCAGTACCTTTTGGAGCCGCGGTGGGCGCTGGCAGTCTGAAGCCCTCGATCGCCCCCGTCTATCGCCCCCCCGTCAATATTTGCCCGATGTCGTCGTTGTCGTTTTCGTCTTCGTCTCCGTCGCCGCTGCCGTCGCCGCCGACCGACCACGACGGCCACGACGACCACGACGACCACGACGACCACGACCACGCCGACGCTGACGTCGGCGGCGGCGGCGACGGTAGGACGTATCAGGAGGTCGGAAGGTTCTGGAGGTCCCCGCGGATGCCCACGGAGGCCTCTGGAGGCCCTCGGCGACCCAGGAAATGTTCGAATGAGGCCAAGAGCCATGATCTTCCTCTTCCTTCTGTTCCTGTTGCCTGTCTGTTGGCTGAAGTGTCGTGCCGACGCAGCCCTCCTCCTCCTCTTTCTCCTCCTCCTCCTCATCCTCCTCCTCCTCCCCTTCCTCGTGCTAGAAGCTGGAGCGTTGACGACGACGACAGCGGTGGCGACAGCGGAGGTCGCGGCTGCTGCAGCGGCAGTGTCGGCGGTGACCGCGTGGACGACGGCGACGGCGATGCGGCGCAGGCGTGGAGGGGGACGCCCAGCTGCTGCTGCAGACCCTGCAGGGCCGCCAGACGGAGGCTGGGGGGGGAGTCTCGCCCACAATCCCCGAGCTCCCTCCTCCCCGAGCAACTGGTCGCTTGCACCTCCATCGAGGACGGAGGCCCCCCTATCGTATGTCGCCGAGTTGGGCCCACAACTATATGGCGCCCGTCGAAATTCCACTAAGTCGGGGATTGGGGTCGCCAAGCCTGTCAATCGAGGCTTCGCGCGGCACCTCCCACTCGAGGTTAGACGGGAGGTTCCAGGGCCGAGGCTCCAGGATCCTGTTTCTTGTGTGTGTGCGTTGTTGTGCGCGTGTGAGTGTGTGTGTGTGTGTGTTTTTGTGTGCGCGTGCGTGCGTGCGTGCGTGCGTCCTTCCGTGCGTGTGTGTGTGTGTGTGCATATGTGTGCGTGCGTGCGTGCGTGCGTGCGTGCGTGCGCGTGTGTGTATATGTGTGTGTTCCTGCATGCGTGCGTGCGTGCGTGCGTGCGTGTGTGTGTGTGTCTTTGTGCGTGCGTGTGTGCGTGCGTGCGTCCGCGCGCGCTCGTGTGTGTGTGTGTGTGTGTGTGCACGTGCGTGCGTGCGTGTGCGTGTGTGTGTGTGTGTGTGTGTGTGTGTGTGTGTGCGTGCGTGCGTGCGTGCGTGCGTGCGCGCGTGTATTTGTGTGTGAATGTGTGTGTGTGCGTGCGTGCGTGCGTGCGTGCGTGCGTGCGTGCGTGCGTGCGTGTGCGTCGTGTGCGTGTGCGGCGTTTGCGTGTGCGGGTGCGTGTGTGTGTGTGTGTGCTTGTGTAAGTGTGTTTGGTTGTGCGTGCGTGTGTGTGTGTGTGTGCGTGTGCGTGTGTGTATGTTTGTTTGTTTATTTGTGCGACTATGTGTGTGTCTGTGTCTGCGCCAGCGTCTTCGTCTGCGTCTGCGTGTGTACGTGCGCGCGTGCGTGTGTGCGTGCGTGTGCGTGCGCGTGTCTGTGTGTGTACGTTTGTGTGTGCGTGTGTGCGTGCGTGCGTGCGTGTGCGTGTGCGTGTGCGTGTGCGTGTGTGTGTGTGTGTGTGTGTGTGTGTGTGTGCGCTTGTGTGTGCGTGTGCGCGTGTGCATGTGTGTGTGTGTCTGTGTGTGTGCGTGTGTGCGTGTGCGTGTGTGCATGCATGTGTGTGTGTGTGCGCGCGCGTGTGTGTGCGTGTGTGTGTGTGTGTGTGCATGTGTGTGTGCGTGTGTTTGTGTTTGTGTGTGCGTGTCTGTGTGTGCGTGTGTGCGTGTGTGCGTGCGTGTGTGTGTGTGCGTGTGTGTGTGTGTGCGTGTGTGTGCGTGTGTGCATGCGTTTGTGTGGGTGTGTTTGTGTGTGCGTGCGCGTGCGCGTATGCGTGTGTGTGCGTGTGTGTGTGTGTGTGCGTGTGTCCGTACCCCCCTTGGCTCAAGCCACCCCGGCTCAAGCCACCAGGAGCGGTGAGGCGGCCCGGCGCGCCGTCGGCCTGCCGGGCGCGGGTGCCCGCGGCCCTGGCGGCCATGAGCCGCGACCCCGCGGCGGCGGCTGGGGCCGCGCCGCCGCCAGGTGGAGAGGACCCAGGGCCTCCAACTACCTCCTCCCCTCCCCGTGTTTCTTCTCCGGCAGGTCCCGGCTCAGGACCTGTCACCTCCGACTTCGACGGGGCTTTCGACGAGGCGGACGTCGTGCGCCTGGGCGACGCGGCCGCAGCTCCCGCTGCCGACCGCGCTGGGGTGCCCAGCAGGACCTTTGCCGCCTCGCCGCTGCCCCGCGGGTTATCCGCCTTCCCGCCAGGCCGCATTGACGGCGTGGCAGCCCCCGCACTCGCCGCAGGAGCTGCGAGCGACATGGCGATCGCCTCGGGCCCAGGAGCCTGCCGCGTGGACGGCGAGGCGCGGAGCATGTGCGACGTGCCGACGCCCAGGTGCCCCATCGACTTCTGCATTGCCCTGCTGGAGCACCTGGCGCTTCCGGTCCAGGCCACGCCCGAGGCCATCAGCATGGTGACAACCGACGTGGTCATCCAGCTGGCGCCCTCTGGTCACACTCCAAACCACAGCTCCGACATCGCCATGGACTCTGACGACAGTGGGACGCCCGAGGCACCCATGAGCGCGGAGCCCGCCTCGCCGCACGCGATCTTGAGCGGCGACCTTGCCGGCCCAGGTCCCTCTCAGACTCCCGTGCAGACGCTGACCGAGGCGGTGCTCCCGCTGTACGTTTTCGGCAGCAGCAGCACCACCACCGGCACCTTCAAGGCCTCTGGCGACGGTGTGCTGCATGGGGTGCACATGTGCGAGAGCTTCGCCCTGCCGTACGTCACCTTGCGACCCGACCCAGACTGTCGCAACCTCGGGGAGTTGAGGGTGGAATGCGTGCCTTTCTCAGTCCAGGACTTCGGGCCCTCCTGCCAAGCCCTCCCGAATTCCAACCACTACACCACTCCTCCTCCCCCACGCCCTCCGTGTCCCCAGGGTGTCTGCGCTGACGGCCGGGCCCCAGGAGATGACGGCACAGAATTGGTCACATTTGGTTCCACCCCTAGGCAGGACGAAGCATTGCGCTCCGACAGGGGTGGTTCTTCAGGACAGCGCGAGGGCAGTCAGCAGCGCCGCCGCGCCCAGCACGACAGCAGCCGGCAGCACTGCAGCCAGCTACACGGCAGCAGACAGCAGTCATACCGCAGCACCCCCAATGCTGGCCTGCAGCGGTGCCACGGCCCGCGTGACCAGCTGGCGCACGACGTGGGCACCCTGGTGGCGTTCTCGCTGGACGCTTCTGGTTGCACCGCCCTTACTGGCAGCAGCTTCGGCGGCAGCGCGGGGCTGACGGCTACCATCGGCGCGGACTGGGGGCTGCCGCGCGCAACTTTGCGCTTGCTGGACAGCCTCCCCGAGCGCGGCTACTCATTCATCCTCGCGCTGGAGCGCGAGATCGGGCGCAGAGGCCTCGAGACGAAGTACTGCAGCGCCGTCGAGGGCCATCGTGACGGCAGTTCACAAGAGCACAGTAGCCAGCAGCGCAATCACAACTCGCACGGCATTCCCGCTTTGACCTGCACGACGGCCGCGCGCGGCGGTGGCCCGGAGCACCGCGGTGAACCGAACAGCAGCCAGGGAGACAGCGGCGACCACAAGGCCCAAGGAGACCCGCTCAGCAGCATCTCGCATAGGCCACTTGACCGAGTCGACAGTGGCCAGCAGCACCACCGCTCCCAGCGCGGCGACAAACTTTCACAACACGACTCTGTTGTGCTGGGCGCGATCCCCGTTGCGCTGGGCCTGATCTCCGTGCCGTCGCAGGTTCATCGCTTCCGCATCGAGCACGATGCTCACGATTTGCTCGACTTGTACGACGACCGTCAGGTTCCGCCGGGCTGCGCTATACTGTCCGCGAGGGCCAGCAGCATCGACGCCAGGACCGACGCCTGGTCTGGTATTGGCGCCAGCGGCATCGGCGCCAACAGAGATCCCGGCACGGGCGCCAGTACAGACGTTGGCATTGACTCCTGCGCCGACGCCAGCAGGATCGACGCCGGCACCACTTCCGGCGCCAACACCAGCTCCATCGACACTGGCGCTGACTTCAGCACCGACGACAGCAGCTAGCAGCAACGACGCCGGCACCGAGGCCAGAACCGAGGCTGCCAGTATCGACGCCGGCGCCGACGCCGGCACCGACTCCGGCACCGACGCCAGCAACAACCCTGGGACCGACACCGGCACCGATCTTAGCACCGAGGCTGGCACCGACGCTGCCAACATCGACGCCAGCAACGACGCCGGCACCGACTCCGACGCCACCGACGACCCCAGCCGCATCGGCGACGGCAGCGGCTGTTGCATCGACGCCAGCAGCATCGTCTCCGGCACTGGTGCTGGCAGCGGCTCCGGCACTGACACCGGCGGCACCGACGCCAGCAGCTCCGAAGCCAGCACCGACACCAGCAGCATCGACGCCGACACCGACGCTGGCACCGACGCCAGCAGCAGCGACGCCAGCACCGACGCAGGCCCCGACACCGGCACCGACGCCAGCATCATCGACGCTGGCACCGACGCCAGACTCAATTACGGCACCGACGCCAGCAGTTCCGTGACCTGCACCGACTCTGGCACCGACACCAGCAGCATCGACGCCAGCACTGACTCTGGCACCAACTCTAGCACTTACTTTGGCACCGGCGCCATCGGCATTGACGCCAGGTTCGGATCCGGCATAGACGCCAGCGGCATCGGCGTCGGCACCGGCACCAGTACCGATTCCAGCACCGATGTCAGCAGCATCGATGGTTGCACCGATTCCAACATCGACGCCAGCATCACAGGCGCCAGCACCTCCCACACCAGTGCCCACAGCATCACCGACGCCTCTGGCCGTACCACCAGAAAGAGCTTTAGCGACGGTGCGAGGCACGATGCTCGCGACGGGCAGGACTTGTACGACGACCGCCAGGTGCCGTCTGGCTGCGATATTCTGTCCGCGCTGGCCAGCAGCATCGACGCCAGCACCGACGCCTGTCTGGTACTGGCGCCAGCGGCATCGACGCCAAGAGGGACTCTGACGCCGACGCCAGCACAGACGTTGGCACCGACTCCTGCGCCGACGCCAGCAGGATCGACGCTGGCACCGATTCCGTCGCCAACGCCAGCTCCGTCGACACTGGCGCTGACTCCGGCACAGACGACAGCAGCATAGAGGCCGGCACCGAGGCTGGCAGCGTCGACGCGCCAGCACCGACGCCGGCACCGATTCCGGCACCGACGCCACCAGCAGCCACCTTGGGACCGGCACCGGCACGGATCTTAGCACCGAGTCTGGCCCCGACGCCAGCAACATCGACGCCAGCAACGACGCCGGCACCGACTCCGACTCCACCGACGATGCCATCCGCATCGGCGACGGCCACGACTGCGGCATCGACGCCAGCAGTATCGACGCCGGCACCGGTGCTGGCAGCGGCCCCGGCACCAGCAACGGCACCGACGCCAGCAGCTCCGGCGCCAGCACCGACGCCAGCAGCATCGACGCCGGCACCGACTCCAGCACCGACGCCAGCTACAACCCTGGGACCGACACCGGCACCGATCTTAGCACCGAGTCTGGCACCGACGCTGCCAACATCGACGCCAGCAACGACGCCGGCACCGACTCCGACGCCACCGACGACCCCAGCCGCATCGGCGATTGCAGCGGTTGTTGCACCGGCGCCAGCAGCATCGACGCCGACACCGGCGCCGGCACCGCGCGGCAGCGACGCCGGCAGAGAAGCAGGCCCCGACACCGGCACCGACGCCAGCATCATCGACGCTGGCACCGACGCCAGCCCCAAGTTCGGCACCGCTGCCAGCAGCATCGAGACCTGCACCGGCTCTGGCACCGACACCAGCAGCATCGACGCCAGCACTGGCTCTGGCACCAACTCCGGCACCGACTCAGGCTCCGACGCCTTCGACAATGACGCCGGGTTCGAATCCGGCGCAGACGCCTGCGGCATCGACGTCGGGACCGGCACCAGCACCGATTCCTGCACCAAAGCCAGCAGCAGCGATGTTTGCACCGATTCCAACATCCACGCCAGCATCACCAGCGCCAGCATCTCCCACACCGAGGCCCAGAGCATCACCAATGCCTCTGGTCGTACCATCATCAGGGGCAGAAGCTTGGGCGACCGTGTGAGGCTGGCAGCTCCCGTCGGCGCGGACTGGTCGCTGCCGCGTGCCATTCTGCGCCTCGATCTTCACGGCCCCAGTCGCACGGATCGCTTGCTGGACAGCCTCTCCGAGCGCAGCTACCCATTCACTATCGCGCCGGAGCGCGAGCTCGTGCGCAGAAGCTTGGAGAAGAATTGCTGCAGCGCACGCGAGGAGCATAGCGACGGCAGTCCGCAGCAACACGGCAGCCAGCAGCGTCATCACGACTCGCGCGCCATCCCCGATCCGACCTGCGCGACGGCCATGCGCAGCGGTACGCACCACCGTGGAAGACTCAACCCCGGCGACATGGAGGTCTTCGTGACGACTCCGAAGGGCACCCTCACCTTCAGCATTTGGAGCAGCACTACGGTCGGCCACATACGGGCCCTGATTCGGGGCAGACGGGGCACCCATCTCGCCAAGCAGCGCTTAATCTTCGCTGGGAAGCAACTGCAAGATGGCGACATGGTGTCGGATTACGGCATCCAGAAGGGGTCGACATTGGACCTGGTCTCGCGCCTGCGCGGAGGCATGCCCGCCGCCGCGGAGGCCGCTTCAGCGGCCAGCAGCCCACAAGCAACGGACCGTGACCGCCCAGAGCAGGAGGTGACGCGCGCCAGCCCTCCGCGCCCGACGACTGTGCTGGTGCGCCCTCCCGCAGCGGAGGGCCACGCGCGGCCCGGCGGGGCTTCTGCTGCGCCCGCCGCAGCGCAGGCGCCGACTCGTCGCGCCTCCTCTGCCCCGCCAGGCCACCCTGCCGGCGACGCCGGAGCGGCTGACGACGCGCGCGAGGAGCCCACACGGCACCCCCGAGACCACATGCACCGCCACGGCTGTGGCCAGCACGGCCGCGGCCCGCCGCCAGCCCAGAGAACAAGAGAAGAAGGAGGAGGAGGAGGAGTGGGAGGAGGAGGAGGAGGCGGAGGCGGAGGCGGAGGAGGCGGCGGCGTGAGAGGAGGGCAGTACGACCAGGAGGACGCACGGACTGATGAAGCTGAGAGCGTCCCTGCCGCGAATGGAAGAAGCCCCGCCGCGAATGGAAGCTCCGCCGCCGCTGCCGAAGAGATGAGCCCCCCCGTTGTGGAGAGGGAGCCTCAGAGCGCCTCGCCGAGAGCATTCCGGGCCGAGGAGGAAGAGGAGGCGCCGGAGGAGGAGGAGGAGGAGGAGGCGGCGGAAGTCGAATTGAGGAGGGAGGGCGAGCAGCTCGAGGAGGAAGGCCATTCAGTTTCGAGACTCCCTGGGGCTCGGGCGATTGGTGCTGGCCGCCCCGCCAGCCCGCAAGAGCAGGGCCCGCCAGCTACTCTGCTTGCCTTCGCAGGTGGCAGCGGCGCCAGACCCGCCGACGCCGACGGCGCTCCACCCGAGCACCGTGGTGACGGCACCAGGGATTCGCGCCTCGCGGAGGTCCTGCTCCCAGTGCCCCCGCGCGCAGGCGCGAGCAGTACGAGCTGGCGCCTGCTCCAGCGCCTAGCCACGCCAGCGATACCGGACGGACCCGCTGCACGGGCGCGCCCGGCAGGGGCTGCAGCCAGCGTGGACGAGGCCGAGCCCCATCCTAACGGAGCGGCGCGACCAGTCCCCCTCCTGCCCCCGGCTCGGCTGGCCGAGCTCAGCCTCGGGAGCAGCAGCGCCGCCGCGCCAGGAGGAGCCGCCTTGGTGGCCAGCCTCTTCGACATTGCCCGTTCCGGCTCAGATGAGCAGCCCGCAGCCCAGCGGCAGGAGCCGCCTCGCTCCTCCAGGCGACCACCCGGCCGGGCCACCGCGCCTGCAGTGCAGTGGTGGTTCGACGGGCTACGCACCACCGTCGCCTCCATCCGGCGGGCTGGAGCGGTCCGGCCAGATTTCACGTGGAGCAGCCTCACGAACCCCCTCATCTGGGGCACGGTCCACGAGGACGATTTCCAGATCTTGGTGCACCAATGCAGGGAGATGGACATGGGCACGGATGGCGTACGACGAGTGCGCGCTTGGTGGAACCAAAGGGGGGTGGACAACTTGGTCTCCGCGCACCGCGTGCTCTGCGCTCTAGCGGCCTTGCACGGCCCGTGGGCGACCTACCAGGGCGAACGTCGGCCTGTCAGGGCCCCCGACCACCCAGGCGCTTACATCCCCGACGTGCTGCAGGAGATCGTGATGGCCGAAGCCCGCGCGGGCGACCTCGCCATGATGGAGGCGTTCCATCCAGCTTCCGACTTGCGGCGCGAGGCCCATGGAGCCCACGCGGCCCTGCCAGCCCCTCCGGACTTTCCGGGAGCTGCGGCCTATCGACGTCACGGATGTCGCAGCGGACGGAGATGAGCGGCTCACTGATGGGGCTTGGGGAGGTCCGCAGGTGTTGGCAATCGATTCCGACTCGGACGAGGACGCCCTGAACGACGCCGAGCTCCGGCAGCTTCCGCCAGAGATGCAGGTCCAAGAGCCTAACCCGGCAGCGGCTCGGGCGCGCAGCCAGATGCTCACGGACGCCTCGGTGGACAACGCGAGGGCGGCCGAAATCACCAGACTCCTATCTGGTGAGGCAGGCGAGGCCCCCTTGCTGGCGCGAGGCACCACCGACATAGCCTCTTGGCTCGCGCAGGCCATTTGGGTAACCTTGCCGTGCCACTTGTCCCAGCAGCTCCTCCCGGCCCTCGTGCGGTCGGCGACCAACGCCCAGCCCTTCCGGGATCTGGCGGAGTGGTTCGCCGAGCAAGGGTGCTTCACCCCAGCCGGGCTCGCGCGAATGTTGAGCGCGGTCTCGCGGATCCAGGTCGAGCCCTACGACCCGCTGTGCCCTGGCCAGATCGCGGAGTTGCTTCAGACGACGTATCTCGATCTCGACTTATTCACGGCTCTGTCGGCGGGGCAGACCGCCCTACGGCGGCACCAAGCTTCCACCAGCGAAGAGGCGGGCACAAGCCTGGCGCGAGGGAACGAGCACTGCACGGTCTGCCTGGAGCCCTTTGGCGACGGCGATGGTACGAGATGGCCGGGGCGCGGGCACCGCGTGCACGCCGCTTCCCAGAGGTCTGAAAGGACAGTTTTTTAGGAACATAATTTATGTTCCTTTTTTATAGGAACATGATGTTGAATTAGGAACATGATTTTTGTTGTTTTTTGATTTCGTAAGTTTTTGTAATTTGATTACTTTAATTTTGCAGTGAGTACCATCATCGGCAAATTCCTTCCACTGCCACCGCCAGCGTTGCCATCATCACCACGCCCGCCATCATCGCCATCATCATCGGCAGGCTCGGGTTCGAAACTTGAGCCAAACCGCGAGCTTGAGCCAAATTATGAAAACAAGCCGCCCTCCATGAAACCAATGCGCGCGGCGCTGAAGCGAGAGCGCAATCCCAGCGCCTTAATCCCCCCGCAGAGAAAGCGGATCATATCGGGGCAGACTTGGCGTCGTTCCCCCTCCTCCACCTCCGCCTCACATCCTCCTCCGTAGCCATATTTTGGCTCGAGGCTCGAGGCCTGTTCCTCGCCGAGGCTGCGAGGGGCCCGCAGCTCGGCACTGGGCGCGACGCGCCCGCCGCCAGCCACCCGCGCGCGGCGCGCGGCGCCCGCCACCGGCCACCATGACGAGGTCGCCAAAGAACTGTCCAGAGTCGGTGGCGATTTGGACGAAGGGCGGAGGAACTCAGCGAATTGCATCACCGTGGGTGTACAGGGACGACGATGATGAGGGAATATGGAAGTGCTACGCGCGCGGTGGCAAGGAGATGTGCGAGTCGCACGCCCAGTCAGAGAAACACGCTCAGAAAGTTTGGTATTATTGTTTCGGCTATGGCAAAAAGCATGGGCCTGGCAAGCTCATGAACGCGGTGGAGTCCAGCGTCCGCCACAACAACAATTTCGTGTATCCAGGTCGCGGGGCCGTCACCGCGTCCATGCTCGAGCCGCAGGGGGGCGGCGACCATCGAGGAGCTCAAGCGGCGGCGGCGGCTGAGGAAGTCCCGTCGGGCACTCGGTGGGCCGCGGCCGCGGCTGCCGCGAGGCAGCAGGGGGCGGGCGAGGCGGAGGTGACGCTCGTGGAGAGTTTCAAGATGGACAGCAACTCGAACTCGTCTCAGATCGAGCTCGGGCCGTCCATAGACCAGAAGCTTGACGGGGTGATCGCGTTGACGAGTACCATGGGGCAGATCATGGACAAGGCGACGAAGCTCATCGAGAAGATCGATGGCTCGGCGGCCGACCAGAAGGGGCCGACGGTGGAGGCCAAGATCGACGAGGTGAAGCAGAGCTTCGAGTCTACGTTGCAGACGCTCGAGGCCAAGATCGGAGAGGTGAAAAACATCGTCGAGAAGCAGTCGAAGCAGTCGGAGCATACCATTAAGAGTATGAAGGAGTCCAAGAAGGACATGGAGGGCAAGATCGACGAGGTGAAGACGTGCTTCGAAAGCCAGGTGCCAACTCTGACGGCGCAGATGGCCGAGGTGAAGACGAGCTTCGAAAGCCAGGTGCCGACGCTGGAGGCCAAGATCGACGAGGTGAAGAGCGAGGTGAGGAGCAGCTTCGATACTAAGGTGCCGATGCTGGAGACGAAGATCGACGGGGTGAGGAAGAGCTTCGAGTGCAAGCTGCCGACGCTCGAGGCCAAGATCGACGAGGTGAAGCGCAGCATCGATGCGAAGGTGCCGATGCTGGAGCAGAAGATCGACGCGCTGACCGATCAGATTCGGGCCCTGTGCGAGCCTGGGGCGCCGTCGCAGGCCTACCCGCAGGGCTCGGCGACGTTGGGGTTGCGCAATTTGAGGAGCAGTTCGAGTCCGAGTTTGTTGGAAGTTCGCGGCGTCGATTCATCGTTTCGTCGCTGAGCAGGCCTCGAGAGGCCAGAGAGCCTGAGAGATGTGTTTTTTTCTCTTCGCGCGCCACCCGAAACGGGGGGCGCGCGCTCTTCTACCGCAAAAGAGCAGCTGTGGTGCCTCCAGGGGCACAGGAAACATCCCTCCTCCTCCTCCGCGTGCCCCCCCCCCCCCCCCCTTCCTCGCCCCCCGACCCCCAGAGGTTTCCCAGAGGTTTCCCAAGGGTTGATCAGGGGTTTCCCTAAGAGGTTTCCCAGAGAATCTCCCCGCAAGCTTCCCCAGAGGCCCCGTCGCCAGATCGGTTTTTCATTTAAGGTCAGGGGTGTGGGCAGCTCCTAAGCCCAACGCAAGGGGGGTAAACGCCCCCCCGACCGCCTCCGACTCAGTCTGCTAATGTTGCTGCCGCCGCCAGTGCGGAAGCTGCTGCTGCTCCTCCTCCTCATTTTCCCCCTCCACCTCCTTCTCCTCTTCCTCCTCCTCCTCCTCTTTCCCGTCCTCATCCTTCTAATTATCATCCTCCTTCCCCCTCCTCTTCTTCTTCCTCCTCCTCCTCCTCCTCCTCCTCTCCCTCCTCCTCCTCCTCCCCCTCCTCCTCCTCCTCCTCCTCACCCTCCGTTTCGCATCGCACCAGTGTGCTCCAGTGCATACGCGGCTGCCGACGTGAGCAGGCGGGCTGCCCCTGCCGAAAGGCAGAGCAACATGGAGAAGGCAAGCGCGCGTGCTCTCCTGCCCAAAAATAACACAGGCACCAGCAACTGCAACGGCGAACACGCCAAGATCTCCAGATCTTCAAATCACTGCCGCTGCTGCGCAGGCTTGTTTGCCGACGCGTCTGACTGCGCCCAATCACTCTGAGTGAGGTCCTGTTCATCAGGGAATGGTGTAAGGAGCGATATGTTTCGCAACCTAACATTGCTCAGTGCGTAGCGGAGCCCATACATAACGTTTTCGAGAATGCATTTCGAATCTGTCAATCGACGCAACAACTCCTGGCGCTGAAGCGATTCATGCAGCTCAAGTGGGCCTGCATCGCTCACTCTCTGGATGGCGATGGTCACAGCCTGTAATTCTTTTTCGATGTTGCCGACCTGTTCTTTGAGCGGTGCCTCGATCCTATCAAGTGTCGGCTGTACAGAACGCAGTCGTTGATTTGCAATCATCAAGCGTCCTATTGGTGTTCGGTACCGTACATCGGAAACCTCTGGCCACATAGCGCCGTTCTGGCGCGAGAGAGCAAATGTGGAAAGGGGTGCGCTATCGAGCCAAGGCTGCGGAACACTTTGGGGTTAAAGTCGAGAGAAGGAGACTGCACGTTGGGAACCTAGCCATGCCCTCTTCGATAGGACGGGCCACCCAATTGCCATGGCGCCAAGGATTTAGTTTAGGGGGGGAAGTTGGGGGGGCGGCGGGGGCGTTGCAGGCACATCACCCAACGAGGATGCAAGGGAGCCTTGGCCCCATCAGGAGGCTGACCAAATCTTTCAATGCACCATAGGCTGGCCAGTATGCCCGATAAAATGTTGACTGTTTGTGCCTCCTCCTCCTCCTCCTCCTCCTCCTCCTCCTCCTCCTTATCAGATTCCTCCTCCTCCTGCTCCTCATCCTCGTCCTATATTCCTCATCCTCCTCGAGTTCTTCAGCTTTCTTCAACCTTAGCCAGGCCTTGAGCCAGGCCTACTTGCATGTCGGCCGTATTTGCACACAGCCGATGCGGAAAGGTAACAGTGAGCTGTAAAAGCATGCAGTCGAGCAGTGAACATGTCTGGCAACTCAGCGTAATCCAGATGCAGTCTCTCGTCGTCGTCGTCGTCGGGTCGTCGTTGTCCCCTCCTGTCGTCTGGTCGTCTCTCGTCGTTCTGTCGTCTCGTCGTCTCTCGTCTCTTGGCTGGCTGATTGCCGACAGCTAGCGCTTCGCGCGCTTTGAAATGCGCGGCTTCAAATCTTATAAGGGTTGCACATGCAATGCAAACGAGATTGGTGCGTGAGAAGTTCCGTCACTATATCACCAAACTTGTCAGTAAAGGCGGACGGGTAGACCTGGCTCTCCTTCTGCTTCTCTTTGTCCCCTGTGGTCCAATGGGTTGTCCTCCAGCCAGTGCCCGAATCAGCGTTCTGCCGCTGCTGCTCGAAAGTAAGCGTTTTGCTTGCTGCCGTCGATGCGTCAGACTTGCTTTTGACCAGTTGCCCTACTGCCCAGCTAGGAAACGTAGTCTGCCACGCAGTTGGTTTTGGAGTCGAGTGCCCCCATCCTCCCAACCATATACTGCAGGTAGAGGCTCCGATCGTTTTGCTCGCAGCTTTTATGTTCGACATGTGATAGAATAGGCTGCCCTGCGGCTGCTCCACCGTTGTGTACACGGACCTCATGCTCGCGTAGAATAGCATGTAGGACCTGCGTGGTTTTTTAGGGGGTGGGAAGTGGCCAAATGACCGGCTAGGTTCTTCGGCGTCCAGGCGTCCAGAAACCATCCAGATTTCGCTAAACCGTCTGAGCCCCCGAGGGCTCATCGACGGCTCACCGAAAACAGTGAGCCCCAGTGAGCCCCCAGTGAGCCCGAATTGCTCTGGGATTTCGTTCGTGGCCATGGGAAAGCGAGCATTGTGGGCAGGAGTTGAGAGGAAAGGGGTATATAGGGGCATGTGGCAGCTGGAGAAGAGGGGGATGGGGCGCGCGAGGAGGACGAGGAGAAGGAGCAGGACGAGGAGGAGGAGCACGAACACAAGGGAGCGGAGGAGGAGCAAGAGGAGGAGGGACGGAGGAGGGGGGATGAGGAGGATGATTTCTGTATTTCCCCAGTGCGACACCGCTGCAGCAATAAAATTGGCCTCCCGAACATCACGGCGGCTGTCGTCGCCACTGGGGTCAGCAGTACTGCGCTTGGTGTGAAAACTTGCCCCCCTCCACCACGTCGAGCACTGCGGCGCGAAATGCACCGACCCCCCTTCTGCGACGGTCGCGATGAGGTACATCGCGTAGAGAATCCCCACCTGCAGGAGCACTCAAGACACCCCAAGATCAAAATGCCCCCAGCAGAACCACGACACAACACTCAAACCAACACGAGCACCAAAGCTACATCAATCACACGGTTTGAATTCCTGGCCACCAGAGAGCACAAATCTTCGGTCGGCGAATTCTCCCTTTCGAAGGTGTAGGCATTGAATCCAAGCTGTGCCACGCGCCTGGCTGCTCCACCTGCGCCTGCGAATAATTCA